AGTAAGTTCATGTTTAAGTTGTTATTCAGCATTGTAAACACTTTGTTAAAAACTTTTATAAGCCATAAAATGTGCGTTCTCCCTACTTCCACTCACGCTACAACCAGCACTGCAGCTGCAATGAATGAGTATAGCAAAAGTTTTTTAAATATTTTATATATATATGTATATACACACATATACACATACACATATACACATACATATACACACATATATGTACATACATACATATATACATACATCCATACACACACACATATCCTTTTAAAAATTATATATTACTTTCCAACCCAACCACCCCTTCCCCAATTGGATTTAACTAGTAAACAACAATGCTTAGGCCTCTACTTCCAGCTTATACATACTATATACATTTTATGGACACAGTCAAATTCTACAATAATTATATTTTGTTTGTTTTTACTCCTGAACTTCCTCCGATCATTTTCATGATGTCCATCTGGTTTGCTTCTATATGCCATATTTTTCTAACTGTGCTCTTTCACAAAAGCTCTCAACCTATAACCTATATACCGTAATTTTCGGACTATAAGCCGCACCTTTTTTCCCATTTTTCGACCCTGCGGCTTATATAATGGTGCGGCTAATCTATGGATTTTTACAGCTAACGGCCACTAGAAGACCTCCTAAATCTATGGATTTTACAGGTTACAGTCCACCAACTTTAACTCTATGGGCTCTATGACCGGTCCGCGCACCCCACCTTTAAGCGGCGGGCTCCAGCAGGAAAAGCTGGAGGCCGGAAAAGAGTGAGACAGGTAGCGCGCAAAAGTAAAAGTGGAACCGAGAGTGGTACGAGAGACAGAATGAGAGACAGAACGAGAGCAAGACAGACAGACATTACGAGAGCGAGACAGTTTGTCTCTTTCCCGACAATCCCCTCTGTGCACGAACCCTTACATATGGTAATTAAACATTAAAACCCCTGCGGCTTATAGTCCAGTGCGGCTTCTATATGTACACATCATTCAATATCATTCAATTTAGCTGCTGCAGTGTCACGCCCTGGCTCTGGGGACTCTTAATTGTTGAGCCAGGGTGTGGATTTTCTATGTTTTGTTTGCTATGGTTTTCGTTCTAGATCGGTTAGATCTATGTTGGCCAGGGTGGTTCCCAATCAGAGGCAGCTGTAGCTCGTTGTCTCTGATTGGGAACCATACTTAGGCAGCCTGTTTTCACTAGTCATTGTGGGATCTTGTTCCGAAAGGTTTGTGTTAACCTAGGACTTCACGTTTCGTTTGTTGTTTTGTTCGTGTGGTGTACTTCAATAAAAGATGTATGTTTATCACGCTGCGCCTTGGTCCGCTTCATCTATCGACGATCGTGACAGAAGATCCCACCACGACTGGATCAAACAGCGTGAAGAGGAGAGAGGATGGACTTGGGAGGAGAAGAGAGAGAGTCTGGCGAGAGGCATGGAGGCCATGTTCACGGGGGAGAGACAAGCCCAAAACAATTTTTTTGGGGGGCTCACGCTGTGGACGACGAGGCAGCAGGAGGCCGCGATAGAGCGGTTCAGCCGGTTAGCAGAGGAGGCCGCCAGGTTACGGGGGCTATTGGTCAAGAGGGAGAAGGAGAGTGTGGAGGCACGGCGAGAGGAACTGGTTAGGCAGCAGAGGGAGCGGAGGTTTATGAGGAAACCCAGCCCCGCTCCTCGCACCAAGAAAGTGGTGTGTGTCACCAGTCCGGTCCGGCCCGTTCCTGCTCCCCGCACTAAGCCTGTGGTGCGCATCGCCAGCCCGGTCCGGCCTGTTCCTGCTCCCCGCACCAAGCCAATGGTGCGCGTCGTCAGCCCGGTCCGGCCCGTTCCTGCTCCCCGCACTAAGCCAGTGGTGTGCGTCGTCAGCCCGGTCCGGCCCGTGCCTGCTCCCCGCACCAAGCCAGTGGTGTGCGTCGCCAGCCCGGTCCGGCCTGTTCCTGCTCCCCGCACTAAGCCAGTGGTGTGCGTCGTCAGCCCGGTCCGGCCCGTGCCTGCTCCCCGCACCAAGCCAGTGGTGTGCGTCGCCAGCCCGGTCCGGCCTGTTCCTGCTCCCCGCACCAAGCTAATGGTGCGCGTCGTCAGCCCGGTCCGGCCCGTTCCTGCTCCCCGCACCAAGCCAGTGGTGCGCGTCGCCAGCCCGGTCCGGCCTGTTCCTGCTCCCCGCACCAAGCCAATGGTGCGCGTCGTCAGCCTGGTCCGGCCCGTTCCTGCTCCCCGCACCAAGCCAGTGGTGCGCGTCGTCAGCCCGGTCCGGCCCGTTCCTGCTCCCCGCACCAAGCCAGTGGTGCGCGTCGTCAGTCCGGCACGGTCCGTGCCTGTTCCACCGGTGCCTGGTCCGGCACTGGTCAGCTGCTCCACGCCGGAGCCAGAGCAATCCGCTCCACCGGTGTTCAGTCCAGCTCCGGCCAGCGGGGCCAGACCAGACCAGGGGCGCAACGGGGGGGTAGAGAGAGTGTGGTGGTCACGCCCGGAGCCGGATCCGCCTCCGAGGCGGAATGCCCACCTGGCCCCTACCCTCTTGTGTTTGGTTGCCGCGGTCGCAGTCCGCGCCTTTGGGGGGGGGGTACTGTCACGCCCTGGCTCTGGGGACTCTTAATTGTTGAGCCAGGGTGTGGATTTTCTATGTTTTGTTTGCTATGGTTTTCGTTCTAGATCGGTTAGATCTATGTTGGCCAGGGTGGTTCCCAATCAGAGGCAGCTGTAGCTCGTTGTCTCTGATTGGGAACCATACTTAGGCAGCCTGTTTTCACTAGTCATTGTGGGATCTTGTTCCGAAAGGTTTGTGTTAACCTAGGACTTCATGTTTCGTTTGTTGTTTTGTTCGTGTGGTGTACTTCAATAAAAGATGTACGTTTATCACGCTGCACCTTGGTCCGCTTCATCTATCGACGATCGTGACATGCGGCTTATACTCCGGTGCGCCTTATAGTGCAAAAAAAACGGTACTTATTATGGACACAGTATGCTTACCGTTAGTTATCTTGTTGTTATTAGTTGTTGTTATTAGTCCCATCCTTCAGCTCCATTCAACATATTGGATTTCTATTTGCCATATATTTTTCAACTGTACTGTGATGTTTTACAAAAGTTCTGAACCTTTCTATTCTCATTGTTTCTACAGATCGTAAATAGAAAATAAACATTTTTTCTAAAAGTATTATTATATTATGGATCGATTGACTATGACTTTTCAGATCACCCAGTAGTGCTATCTGCAGGGTTAGCTCCAGGTAAATATTGCAATACTTCAGCCATTCCTGGACCTGTGTCCAAAAACAAGCTACAAATGGACAGTACCAAAACAAATGATCGAATGATTCTGTCTCTTCGCAGCAAAATCTGCAGAGCTGGGAAGATTGTATCCCCCATATAAATAACACTATATTGGTTGTTATTATTAGTGGCTTGTGTCTTTTTAATTATCAATGAATATTTCACTTTCTCTGGTCATCGGAGTAACAACATGAATTGGTACATGAGGCAGAAATAATGCAGTGTGACTTGAGTTTCAGCGTCAGCTGGAAGACTGTGTCCCCTTTTCTCAGCGGAGGGAGGGAGAGAGGAGGGACGGTGAGTCGGGTGAGAGCCTCACCGCTGCTCCCTCGCCTCAGACTGACCATCAGATGCAGGCCATCAGTCCAGTAAAAAAAAATGTATGCTCACTTAGCTGTGCCTCACAAGTAATACAATAAATGATCTATTACCAGTGTGATCATATACCAATATATAATTTCAAACTGGTTTGAGAAGCACAACATTGGCAGGACAATTCAAGCATAGCCAATATGCAGTAATAATGTATTGGGCCTATAGCTTACTGCACAAACCTAATTGCTACATAACTGTTTTTAATTGGTTTATGTTGCATAGGCTTACGTTTTTTAAGTCATGTTTAAAAAAAATCTGAGCGGTAGATCTTGGCTTGCATTTTGACTCAGTGTGGCGGGTGATTTGGACAGGTGCAAGAGGATAAATCAAAGAATAAATTGTTTATTCGGCAATACAGAGGTACGCAGCAATGCGTAAAACGCTCCAGTGCGGTAAAACGGCACACAGGGGAAAACAAGGCACACGGGTGAATATCCCGGCGATACACAATACAATATAGCTCCACCAAGCTATAGTAACCTCCACAATAAACAATCACACACAAAGACATGGGGGGCAGAGGGAACACTGATACAGGTACTGATGAGGGCATATGAACCAGGTGTGTGTAATCAACAAGACAAAACAAATGGAATGATGAGATGAGGAGCGGCAGTGGCGAAGGCCGGTGACGACGAACGCCAAAGCCTGCCCGAACAAGGAGAGGAGGCCGTGTCGGAGGAAGTCGTGACACTCAGAAAGTGATCTTGACTCAGAAAAGGTTGGTGACCACTGCTCTGAGTGTTTGTAGATAAGGTTCAGTAGTGTAAGGATGACATCGTCAACCCCCCTACCAGCCGTATAGATAAACTGAAGGGGATCAAGATGCTGCTTGGTAGAGTGCAGGTTGTAGTTTTTTGACAATCTTCTCAAAGCACTTCATAACCAGGGATGTTGATGCTACCAGCCTATAGTCATTTATTACAGATGGGTTTGTCGATGTGGGGATTTGCTTTTCCATACCATATATGCATGTTGCTGATGCAAAGAGGATTTAAAAAATAAAAAATAAAATAGCAGCCAGTTGCTCTGCACAGTGTTTTAAAACATGACCACACATGTTGTCTGGACCTGAGCTTCAGTAGGTATTGCATGGTTTTAATGTTTTCATGACATATGACTGATAGACACCAAACCTATCTGTCATCTCCAGTGGACCTTTAACCTGGTGGACCTTTAACCTGGCGGACCTTTAACCTGGCGGACCTTTAACCTGGCGGACCTTTAACCTTTAACCTGGCGGACCTTTAACCTGGCGGACCTTTAACCTGGTGGACCTTTAACCTGGCGGACCTTTAACCTGGCGGACCTTTAACCTGGCGGACCTTTAACCTGGCGGACCTTTAACCTGGCGCACCCCAGACAGAGGGTAATCTAACTCAAGCTTTGAAAAGAACACATTCAAGTCATTTGCCATGTTAAGTCCCTCTCCATCCTCCAGGGCAGCACTGGATTTCCCTTTGCCCTTGTGGGGGGCACTTTGCCCTTGTGGGGGCCATGGTTTTAATTCCCTGCCAGGAAGCTCTAGAGAGTCTTTTCAGCAATGAGTTTGTACCCATCTTTATCTATCTGGATCTGTCTTTTAATCTCTCTCTGTATATCTTACCCTCTGCATGTACTAACTTTCTTATTCAGCACCACTTTCAGTTTCTTAGATACCCATGGTTTACTATTAGGGATTATTTTGTTGGTCTTGGTGGGCACTACTAAATACACACAAAAGTTGATCTAACTTGAAACATCTGTCAGTTCATTTATAACAGCAGAGGTAAAAAATGTCCCACATTGTACAGTCAAAACAACCTTGTAAACGGGTGACGCTGTCCTCGTTCCAACCCTGCACAGTTTTAACAGGTCTCTCTTTCAAGGTTGGTAGGTTGGTCGTAGATATACGACGTTATGGTGCGAGCCTCCTAGCGGCAGTTTGGTAGTGGCAGAGCATGCATTCGGTATAGTTTCCATAGCAAAGGTCTAGCGATTATTTTTTTAACGTACTGTTTTAGCAACTGTTAAAGTCCCTGATTATTAGTTTGGGAGCTTCAGGAGAGATAAAGTCCTGTTTTTTAGATATATAAAAAGTTATATCCGAAGCATTGGCAGTGTTTGCTTTAGAATGTATGTAAACAACAGTCAGGTAAAAAGGGTTGTAGGGACACCGACAGCAGTTCAACGTCTGTCGTGGAAAGGGCGCTCTCTTCCCACAATGGATTTGCACTGAAACCAGCCGGCTCCACTTCACTGTTAGGCACTCGATCATCCAGCCAGCTCTCGGTGATTGCCAGGACGCAGGTGTACCGGTACTCGTGCAGGTAGCACAGGTTAGCCGTCAGCTAGTCCGCTTTCCCCCTCAACATTTACATTTTACATTTTAGTCATTTAGCAGACGCTCTTATCCAGAGCGACTTACAGTTAGTGCATACATTATTTTATCGAACCCACAACCCTGGCGTTGCAAACGCCATGCTCTACCAACTGAGCTACATCCCCTGCCGGCCAAATCCCTCCCCTACCCTGGACGACGCTGGGCCAATTGTGCGCGCCGCCCCATGGGTCTCCCGGTCGTGGCCGGCTACGACAGAGCCTGGATTCGAACCAGGATCTCTAGTGGCACAGCGATGCAGTGCCTTAGACCACTGCGCCACTCGGGAGACATAAGGGATTGGGCATTGATTAGCAGAGTAGTCGGTAAGGGAAGTTTATTCCTCATCGCTTTCAATCTCCGCCGGATACCCCCTCGTTTCCCTCGCTTGCGTTTGAAAGTTGTCTTGTCATTCTCTTTCAGAATGTCTGGAATTAAATCCACCACTGGGCTTTCCAGCGTGTTGGACTTCCAATGTAGCAGTCTCTCTGCTATAGAACTGGGTCCTTCTGCCTGTAGCGTTTCCAAAGCCGAGTCCATTTGGGCTTGCAAATATGCTTAAAAGTATCAGGATCAATCCATAGCTCCACAACCTTTGTTGCCATGATTAAAGATTGGAGATCAAGTAGAGGTGATAAAACATCACATGAAAACAAACACTAAAAATATATAGACGCCAAACGCAAACACACATCGTGGGTCACCACCGTGCAGCGCCCGGAAGAATGTATCAACTCCTCTCTCAAGTCTCAGATGAAAGTTGCTTAAATCATGGGTCGGGGACTTGAAAAGAATCGAAACATTAGCTTATAAAGTGAGGAGCTCCACAAGGTTGAGGAGAGAGGGCTGGAGTGATGGAGATAAGGAGACAAAATCGAAGACGTATGCTTAGCAGACACAAAGCAAAGCCAGCTTGGCTCTAACAATATAATATATACCATTTTAGCAGACACCTTTTATCCAAAGCGACTTAGTCATGCGTACATACATTTTTACGTATGGGTGGTCCTGGGAATCGAATCCATGGCAAGCGCCATGCTCTACTAACTGAGCTAAAGAGGAGCAATGATATGACACTGATCAACTACACCCCCACATCCATCCAGAGCAGTGTCTTCATAGGAGGATCCCAAGAGCAGACTCACTTTGGGTTTGTTCATTACAGCACCAGTGATAATGTTAATGTAGCTATAGTGTGTTTCCATAGCTAGGGCTGACACCGGGGACTTCTGAAGAGCAGAATCAACAACCTCTCCATCATCAACACATTTGCTTTGTGAGAAGGTGTTAACCGTGGAAGGTGTTAACCCATGTTCACAGTTAGCCATTGTTCTGTAAATGCCAGCTGAAAAGTACCAATGGCCTCTCTTGGCCCCAAGTGAGAGCAGGTCCAGAGTCCATGGCCCAGTGACACACCGGAACCGGGCCGTGGAGGTGGAAGCACAAAAGGCTGAGCCTTTTTGGTAAAACACTGGGGTAAATCCTTAGTGGAAATACACCACTCCTACTGTACTGTATATCAGGATAAATAAATAAAATAAATAAATAAATTTTTGATCTGTGGTTATACTCTATACTGAACCCTCTGTCATAAGGGCTACATAACACTATCATAACCATAACATAACACTATCATAACAATGACATAACACTATCATAACAATGACATAACACTATCATAACCATGATATAACACTATCATAACCATGACATAACACTATCATAACCATGACATAACACTATCATAACCATGATATAACACTATCATAACCATGACATAACACTATCATAATCATGACATAGCACTATCATAATCATGACATAACACTATCATAATCATGACATAACACTATCATAATCATGACATAACACTATCATAATCATGACATAACACTATCATAACAATGATATAACAGATTCCATAATGTCATGACACAATCCATAATAAGCTTTAAGGTCATCCAGTCAGCTGATCCAGACATGGGTTATGTCATGATAGAGAGTCACTACATTATGTCCAGACTCTAGACCAGTACATTTTACATGATTGGGTATTGGGTGCATTGCAGTGGTATTAAAACTTTTTCAGCGGGGATCCCATGTTTTTCCCATCCCACCCCAAATCGAATGAAACAACCAACCTTAAAATCTGTACATTTTTATTTAACATCAACAAATAACCTTCAATTCATTACATTTTCATCTCTCTTATCAAAATTAAGAGAACCAATAAATACATGTATTTACTCAATAAATATATATTTTTCTAATTATCTTTCTAACTCCCACTAGGGGTTGCAACCTTGACTTTGAATAGCACTGGTGTATTGGGAGAGAGATTCAGTGAACCAGGGTCAATCTCTCAAACCTCAGTCCCTACATGGAGCCAAGAGGAAAGGCCAGGGTGTTATCCCCCTCCGAAGCACACTCACACAAACACACACACTCTCTAACTGGGGACACGGAGGCTGGTCTTCAACAGTTGACCTTTTGGAGGCATCTGGAACTTTTAGAATCTCGTCCAGATATGAATGTCATTATCGCTCATTTCTGATTGGTCAGGAGGTCATAGTTCCTTATGTATGATTGGTCAGTCAGGAGGAGGCCAACCCTTCTGTCTGGTGAGAAGGCCTGAGCTAACCAAACCTAAGGACAAAATGTTTTTCCCCCAGGCCAGTACTCAACATAGTCAACATATTTGACTAGTGACTAGTTTAGCTGACGTTCTATGATGATGTCCAACATAATTAATTCAAAACAATACATCCACTAGGATGGCAGTTATCAGCATATTGACAGCGAACAGAAAAGAGAGAGAGAGAGAGAGAGAGAGAGAGAGAGAGAGAGAGAGAGAGAGAGAGAGAGAGAGAGAGAGAGAGAGACCAGGCCCATCCATCTTTGCCAACTGGATGCTGGGCTCTGTTTGCGTCATGGCTTGGGCCAAACCAAAATTGGTCTCAGGAGACCTTTGAGGCCATGGAGTAATCTGGTGTGTGTGTGTATCTCTCTCGGGGTATGTGTGTGTGCATGCATGCGTGTGTATAGGTGCGTGTACATTCCACCAGACTCAACAGGTTTGGACAGGAGCCACACATCTGTCAGAACAGAAGGAAAATGTATAACATTTTTTGAAAACACGGAGGCTGTCACGCCCTGGCTCGGGGGACTCTCGTATGTTGAGCCAGGGTGTTAGTTTCTATGTTTTGTTGTGGGTTCTAGGTTATTGTATTTCTTTGTTTGAGTGACTCCCAATCAGAGGTAACGAGTGTCAGCTGTTGGCTCGTTGTCTCTGATTGGGAGCCATATTTAACTATCTGTCTTTCACGTTGTGTTTGTGGTTTCTTGTTCTAGTTGGTTTGTGTTAAACTGTAGACGTCACGTTTTCGTTTGTGTTTTTGATCGTGTGATCATTTATAGTAATAAATTATGTTCACCTTCAACGCTGCGCATTGGTCCTCTATGTTAGACGATCGTGACAGAGGCAAATCTTCCCCAGCTATTCAGGGATTGACTAAGTAAAACAACCAAACTAAAAGTCCTCCACCACCACGGTCCCCCTTTTTAATACAATATACACATTTATTTTGAATCAGAGGGATTACAGTAGTGTTTTTATATTGCTCCTTTTAGTAATTTTGTTTGTCCTTTTCTCCAATATCACCACCCTCACATTACCTCATTCTGCCTCTCACTTGCCTAAAGTTAATCAAACACATTACTAGTCTAAACTTAACCAATCACATAAGCTTTTTGTCTTCTAGGCAAAGCTGCTTTCAGAACAAGATGGAATAATGAAACTGTGGAGAAACTCATGCTGAACCTAAAGAGGGAAATATTTGATCTGTCCTTTCCCCTCACAGCTGTGGAACCATGCTGTGGACTCTTCATGAAGAAGCTCAATGCTAACCCTATCCCTTCACACACAGGACACACACATACAGGACGCACGCGCGCGCACACACACACGGCTTGGGCGCTATACCGGGATGGTTTTTCCAATAACTATTTATTTGAATTTTTTCAATACATTTGAATATTTGTAGCTACTTTTTAAGTAAATACCTGCAGTGAACTTGTGCAATATGTTAAGAGATAAAGCAGATTGCGTTCTTCATTTCACCTGTCACATTATTTTACATTAGAAAGCTTACCGTAGTTCCCCAGAACAGTTGAGCCAGTCACGTCTTTGTTTGTAAATAGCACAACGGGAGAAAGCGCGAGCTGTTGTGTCCAGCAATGTATTTGGTTTAACTTGCTAGTTAGCTAAGTACTGTAAATGGCTGAATTAATAAGGAGACGGGGCATCATAGTGTTAGCTTTCTGCCGTGTTTGAGAAGTCAAAGCGCTTTGGATGAGTTATCTTTACAGCTGCCAGTGCTGCCATGTTGATTTTCTTGCGTTAATTGTTTCTCCTCTCCGTTCTCGGCCCGTCTGCTCCTCCCCCATCTTCTCTGATTAATGTAGGCAGGCCCGTTGCCCTAGCGACTCCAGACTCCACACAGACACAGCGTGTACACATGCTGCTCCAGAGCCAGTACCGTTCTTCCTTTAGACAAGCACGTGTCAAAACTCTGTTCATTTGCACAATTTATCTCGTTCACATTTGCTTGTAAATGTCCAAACTCACCAAAAATGACATTCGGTAACTACTACCTATACTTCTATAACTTTATGAACTGGATTGCCTGTCTTTCTTTTCATTTGCGCTTGTTAGCATATTTAGCTAGCAGCCTCTATTGACATTCCCTATTAGTTTGTGCTAATGTTGTTATCATTATTGAAATAAAGGCCCAATGGCCTTTTTCTTTGCGTCTTTAGCGCCCCTTTGTGTCCTAAGACGGAAATACTGTACATCCCGAGATGAGAGAAGGACGGTATGATGATATGAAAATGTGGAT